TCTGATTTTAAAATGGGCAGAGAAATTGAATAAAGATTATTCCAAACATAACTTACCAATGGCCAACTGGTACATGAAAAGGTGCTCAATATCACTGTCTGGAAAATGCAAATCCAAACCATGAGGTAGCACCTCATACCTGTTAAAATGGCTATTTTCAAAATGACGAGAGGGAACAAGCATTGGCGAGGATGTGGAGAAAAGGGAACCCTTGTGCACTGTTGGTGGAAATGTAAATTGGTGGAGCCATCGTGGAAAACAGTACAGAGGTTCCTCAAAAAATTAAGAATAGAACTACCACATGATCCAGCAATCCCATGTCTGGGTATATAACCAAAGGAAACCAAATTGGTATCTTGAAGAGACATCTGTACCCCTTCCCATGTTCACTGCAGCATTACTTACAATAGCGAAGACATGGGAACAATCTAAGTATCCATCTACAGATGAATGATATACAAAGTGTGGTATCTCGATAGGTCAATACTTAGTGAAATATCACCCAGCCATAAAAAAGGAAATCCTGACATCAAGGATGGAACTTGAGGGCATCATGCGAGGTGAAATAAGTCAGACAGTGAAAGACAAATACTGTATGCTATCACTTAGATGTAGAATCCAAAAAAACGAACTCAGAGAACAGAAGTGGGGATGGAGGAAATGGGGGAAGGTGGTCAAAAGCTACAACTTCCCATTATAGGATAAAGAAGTTATTCTGATTTTAAACTCAATAACCCTTATTATAGGCGAGACCGGGCACCTTTTCATATATGTATTGCTGTTTATGTCTTCTTTCCTGTTAGTTTCTTGTTGGCATCTTATGCCCACTTTTCCATTTGATTCCAGTTTTTATTAGCATGTGGAAATTCTTTACATATTCTTGACCCTGCCTGTTCTACATTTTGTGGGTTAAAGTGTCTTTCCCAGTCTGTGCCACTTCTTTATGTTGTGTCTTTTGATTCATAGAATTTTTAAGTTTTAATATAATAAAGTTTATCACTTTTTTGTCTTATATGATTTTAAATTGAAGTACAGTCAGTTTACGATGTGTCAGTTTCTGGTGTGCAGCATAATGTTGCAGTCATGCATGTACATACATATCATTGTTTTCATGTTCTTTTTCATTACAGGTCACTACAAGATATTGCATGTAGTTTTCTGTGTTCTACAGAAGAAACTTGTTGCTTATCACTCTTAAAGTTTGTATTTGTTATGGCTTGCTTTAAAAGTATACCCTAAAAAATAAGGATTCCCTAACCCTCAGTCACAAAGTTATTTCCCTATGTTGTCTTGTCTTCTGTCAGTTCTTAAGTATTATCTAAGCTAGAACTGACTTTTGTATATGGTGTAGGAGCCAGGTATCCAATTGTATTTATTCCACCTGAATAACTAGTTGACTTGGCAGCATTTAGCAGAGGTCTACACCCTTTTCCCACTGATTTTTAAATGAGTTCATTTATAAATTGAGTTTCCAGATACGTGGGATGTATTTCTCAGCTCTCTATTCTGTTCCACTAGTCTGTTGCCTCTGTCACGAGTTTAAAGCACTCCAAAGCCCTGTCTCTCTCAGCCACTCTTGACACCCTATTTTTAATTTTCCTGATATACGCGGCTGACAGCCATTCCATTAGCACACGCTGACTACTAGAATTTCAGTTCCCTCTTATTTTTTTTCCTTCTAGGTGTTCCCTTATCTTATTGTGAGCCAAACTCTATGTATGTGATTCATCTAGTATTTCTAGGTGTTTTTTAGTTGGAGAGGGTTTTTTTCAGATATTTAGTCATCTGTATCTTGTTCTCTTTTTATTAACAAATTCCCAAAGTTTTCTCTCCTTAGAATTGGCCTTTATTACTCAGTTCTTTGAAACTGTTCACATCATGATGACATAAGCCCTTTCCTAGCGTCACAGAATCTCTCTCGCCGTCCGCATGTATTAGATGTCTTTCTCCAACTCCAGCACACGCCATAAGGCTTGCTGGATGAGAAAGTCCGCTTGAGGAATCTTTTGCAAGTGACATCTACCAGGTTGTTGATGAAATTACCTATGCGCTACTGCCAGTCCTCCAGAGTAAAACATTTTCATTTTTTGGCCATAGGTATTTGACATCTGTTTTGAAAGACAGCTGGGGAGTTTCTTCAATCACAAACCCACGGTTCATGTTGCTTGCCTTTGTTTGGGTGACATTGCTTCCTCCCTGCTTAAAAGAATGATTGATGAAATATGGTTACAGCTGTTCTCAAGAGCATCAGACTGAGAAGAGCTCTGCAGTAGGGGCCATAAGCATGCAAATGTCAGGTGATGAGATCAGCTGAAATCTTTCTTTGAGGGGGGGCGGGGTGTAAGTGCAAGGCTTTTCTGGCCTCTTCCCTTTTGAAACTAGTCCCAGCATGTTGGGTAGTTGTGACCAGCCACAATTCTCACAAATGGGCAGCCTGTAGGGTCATTTTACCTTTGTAAGATCAAGACTCTAGCAGCAACTTACAGCCCATTTAGTTTTAAAATTTAAAAAAGTTCTATAAATAGTATTTGTTTCATAATTACGCTGTAGAATTTTGAGGTTAGTCCATGAACTCTGGAGTTGTGATAACCTCTTACCCAATTTGACCTTTCGCAATTTCCTTAGGTTTCTGAACTAGTTTCCTTCTCTGTAAAGCTGAATAATACTGGTTCCTATTTGTGAGAATTAAATGAATGATAATGATAAATTATTTAGTATATGGCAAGGATGGAATACATTTTGGCTTCTATATTATATAATATTTATAGAGATGGTCAAGCAAAAAATAACAAAGTATCCATCATCCCAGAATTGTGATGGCATTTTTACTTGATGAAATCTACTTTCTATTTTTTCCTGATTTTCCCCCTTACTTACTATTGCTGTGGAAATCTTTGACTGCTCTAAGATTACATTGCTTCAAGACATTTTTTGCCCATCTCTTCTTGTGGATATATGAGGTACTTCTATCTTTTTCTGTTATGAAAACACTTCAATGAGCATTTTTGTAGAAAATTTAGTGTACAAGTCTTCTAGGTTTCTTAAGGGTACATTTCCAGAATTTAGGCTAATGATATGCACATGAATAAAGTTCTTGATATATATTTCCAAATTACCTGCAACTTATACACACTCCATCCTCGGTGAACAGAGGACTGAGTTCCCCTTTCTTCATCCTCCTAAAATATTTACAAAAAATTATCTCTGGCAATAACATCTACAAAATATATCCCAAGTATGTCTACAGCAGTTCATACGCTTTTTGGTTGCAACATTGCTTTAATACTTCTAAAAAGCATTGAGGTCCTGTGTGATTTATCTGCCATTACTTACCATGTTAGAAATTAAAACTACAAAACTTTAAAGCTTTTTAACTTATCTTGACATTAATAAACCCCTTATATGTTGACATAAAGCGTATATATTTTACATCAAAGATTCTATTTTCCCCAAAAAACATGGCAACAAGAGTGGCATTGTTTGACACTTCGGCAAATCTGTCCAATGTCTGGATTATCAGAAGGCAGCTAGAGTCCCACTGCTGCTTGTGTTCTCACTGTGGCAAAATCCCATGCCACACATGGGGTATGGAAACTCATGAAAAAGTGAAAGTTCAAGAGGCAAATGATATTTTAGAATTATCCTGAAAATCACCTTAACCTCATAGGCCACCTGGAAAGTTCTCAGGAATTCCTGAGAGTGCCCAGACTCTACTTTGAGAACCACCGACCAATACTGTTAAAGATATAGTGGTATCTGTCTTTCAAGGAAAAGAGCAAATTTAACTTCAAGATGTTGTGGAAATCAATACGAAATCTTAGTTTGAATTACCGAGGATGCCTTTAAACACTTTTTATGCTGATATAAATCACTGAAAATATACCTTTTACAACTAAAGTAGTTATTACTCAGCTAACTGAGGCGTTTCTTTGGACTGTTTCGTGACTATTGCTGTGCTGATGACACTTGTTTTCATGAACTTTTTTGATGGATTGTCATTGGTTTTGTTGAACAGGTACCATGTTTTGCTTCCCCAAATGTAGCATGGGGCCCATCCTGCGTTCCTGATGGCGCTTCACCGAAAAGGAAAGTATGAGCTGCACCCAGTGCAGTCATTTGTGTCAAGTGCAACGCACCTCATGTAAGTAGCTTCCTTAGGTGGGCGGTGGGAAGGAGGGAAACTGGAGGGAAGAACATCAAGTCGTTATCCTCCGGCTGGTGAACTCTGGTTCAGCACAGGGACAACAGTAGAGATACTGTCAGTTCAAGAACACACTCGCACACCCCTTTCAATATCCTCCTCTCTCCCTTCCTCCGAGATGTGCTTAAACTGTTTCCAGCTCGGTGCCTGCACGGCCCTGGCATCTCCCAGCTAATACGGACCATGAGTGCATTTTCTTTCATCCCGAGTCACCTGGGAACTTAACATTCAGCAAACCAACCGGATCAGAGAGTCTTTGTAATCACCAAAAGGGAGCGTGGGTAGCATTAAATGAAGTGTTAGGCTTATGTTGTTAATGTTTCAAATCAAAGATCCGGATTTGCATCCCTGAAGCTGACAGTTTGTCAAAAGAGCAAGTTGTCTGTTTCATAAAGGATTTTGGAGGCATTCCCAATGAACTTATTGATGACAGGGAACTTTTACGACAATGTAGTCCCAAAGTGCTGGCAGATGCACACAGTGCTAGTAATTACATGTAGGCAACCAAGGTTTGTTTTTTTTTTAATGTATCATAGTCTGTGGAAATGGTAGATGGGCAGTTCTCAGAGCCTTCTTACCCAAGAGGGCAGAGTTTCACTTCTTTTCCTTTGAGGCTCACCTGTGAGATTTTTACTGAATTAGGATGGAGCCTGGACACAGAACTTGTATCAATGAAGGATGAATAGGGTATATTTTTCTTAAAAAAACATATATATGGTTCAATATGCATGTTTTAGGGATGGTATAGCTCATGATAAAGTGTGTCCTTTGCATGCACGAGGTCCTAGGTTCAATCCCCAGTATCTCAGTTAAAAATAATAATAAATAAACCTAGTTACCCCCCCCCACAAATATGCATGTTGTATCACACAAGAAATACTTGTTTAATAAATTGATGCCATCGGATCCTCATCTTCTGAGGGGGTCAGCAGATGTGGACCGTGACTTCCTAAGTATGGAGGTTAACTGGGTCGGGGGGAGTGCTGGCTGTTTTGTGAATTTTGCTCCAGGGCACTTAATCACGTTCTGCCTCCTGAGACGTCTCTAATGACACTTGGTTCTTCTGATAGGACTGAAGTCCTAACATTCTAGATGCTGACCTCAGGGATGTGAACCCACAAATGGCTCTTCCTAGCCTAACTTTCTCATAGCAGGTACAGTGGGCCAGCTTTTGGCCCTTAGTCACCATCATATACGGTCATGCATGTCTTCTGTTGTGCCTGGGCTCTGTCTCCTCTGCGCAGGTTACCTGAAGCCAGGTGCTTGGGCGTGTGTTTTATTTCCTGTACAAAGTTTGGAACTGAGTCTAGGGCTGCAACAGGCAGCACCTGCAACTAGAAATTTACACAAATAGCAAAAAAAAAAAAAGTGGAGCCAACTTCCAGCAACTTCAGAGACAATCCTGTTTATCTCTGCCACATCACTGCACTCAGTGACCACCATCAATCCATCACTAAGTCCACCATCTGCCTCCCAGTTCTATCCGTCCATCTCTCTCCTTTTCTACCCCAACCATCTGAGCAAGTGTGACCCTTGCAGGGCTGAACGGTCTCTGTTTCTGGCTTAGCAGAGAGTCAGAATCAAAGAAACATCAGTCCGACATCTGCCCCACATGGAAAAGTAATACAAACCACTGTGGATGTGAAATCATGTATGCAAAAGCTACATTTTAATAATTAAGCCTTGCACAACAGTGAATTAAGTGTGCCATCTACAGAGTCTGCTTCCCAGGATCCAAGCCAGTGGCTGACTAGCTGTGAGGCTGGGAGCAGGGGTCTCGTCTGCGGCTCATCTGTCTGCTGTGGTGAGGGTTAAACAGGGTCGCGTGTAGTAAACGGTCTGGCACGTAACAAACCACATGCGATTTTTACAAACAAAACACAACCAAAAAAAGTTCACTTACCCAAGGCTCTCATGACTTCGTTAAATTAACACTTGTTAAGAAGAACCCCGAGTGTTAGAGAGGGAGCTGAGGTTCAGCAACAGATCACAAGAGAAACTGAAATAGAGAAGTTCATGATTCACAGGTCCTGGGGGACGTCCACAGCACACCTGAGGGGCCCCACGGGGAGGTCAAGGCCAGGGTACAGGCAGAGAGGTGGTAGGACCCGAGGCACCTGCCTTTATTAAGGGGTGCTTTATGCATGAGTGGAGGGATGGGGGACGGTCCCGGGCTAAGGCCAGATTGGTCAATTCAAACTGCAAAGAGTAGGTTTTGGTTAGCTTCATGGGAGTCATCTAAGGGACACATGAAGGAAGGCTCTGGGAGGTCGGGAGGAACCTATCACGAGGGCTGTTGGGAGGGTCGTATAAGCAGCTCACCCTTGCTGGTGATTCTGCGTGTGGTTGCAGGAGGGGTACTGTCAGTTCAAGGCTCCCACTGGCCAACTGGCCACACTGTGTAGATGCCAGGCAGCAACATTATACAGTTTTTCAACTAAACTCTCAAAAGTTCTCAAAAGGAATCTCAAAACCAGACATAAAAGAGAAATCACTCACAGGGATATTCCACTCACAGAATCCAACCCCCCCCACCCCCCAAAAAACCCTTACATTCTCACCCTCTCCCCAGTGAATCAAATCACAGTCACTACCCACATCCATTGATTTCCGGTCTCCAGATCCCAAGCATTCTCCCCAAACCCTGCTCTCCGGATTCTCCTCCTCCCTTTGCCCCTGCCCTGTCCCCTTTCTCAGTCTATTCTCTCTTCGCCTCTCTGTAGCTCTCAGTGCTTTCCAATAAAAATGAAACCAGGCCTGACAAAGCCTCTCACCCCTCTCCTTCCCCGCCGCTACCGCCACACTCGGAGCCTGGCAGCCAGACTGAAAGCCGCCCCCAGCTTGCCCAGGCTGCCTCCTCTCTTGCCTGGACTGTTGTGCTGCTCTCTGCTCTCCTTCTGGGGCCCTGACCACACACATACACCAGACTGTTTGATATTGTCCCCTGGCTCTCAGATGTTCTGTCTTTTTCAGACTCTTTTGTTCTTTGTGTTTCAGTTGGATAATTTCTATCAACCATCTTCAAGTTCACTGATTCTTTCCTCAGCTGTGTCAGATCTACTGATGAGACTGTCAAAGGAATTCCTCATTGTTGCTGCTTATTTCTAGAGTTTCTTTTGGACTCTTTCTCACAGCCTTCACCTCTCTAATGAACTTCCTCATTTGTTCATGTATGTTGTCCACCTTTTCCATGAACTCCTTTGACATGTCAGTCATAGAAGCTGTAAGGTCCCTGCCTGATGGTTCTAACATCTGGGTCTTATCTGAGCCTGATTCTTTTGATTGCTTTGCCTCTTGACAATGGAGTTATTATTTGCTTCCTTGTGTGTCTGATAATTTTTTTTTATTGAAAGCAAGATATCGTGTATAAAACAGAGACTGATATAAATATTTTTCACACCTGGACTTGAGCACATCTCCTCTTCTGCCTAATGTGTGTGGAGATGAGTCAGTTGACGCTGGAGATGAGCTATGCTTGGGTTTTGTTGCTACTGTGGTTACTTCAGGGCAACTGCTCCCAAGTTACTGTGAGTTTACTGTGGAGACTGGGTTGCTGGAGAACTTTTCTCAATTTTTCAGTCTTCCCTGCACCTCACAGAAGAGTCTCCAGGTTCTCCTCAGTGACAGACAGCTGTTGCTTGTCACCCTGTGTGTGATGCTGCCTCCAGGGGGACACGGGGAAGTCTTGGACATCCTATTTAGTCCTGAGCTTCTATCTCAGGTGGGCCTTCTGTGCCTGAGCCTCCCGGGTGGGACTTTCTCAGCGTGCCTGCTCCTTCTCCTTGTGTGTGGTTGGTTTGGGGTAGAACTTCCCAGGTCCTCCCCAGAAGTAGAGGACTTCTTCTTGGTTTTTGTATAGAGTTGTGGGCCCAAGGCCATTTCCTATTCCTTTTCCAAGGGTTGGGGGTTAATGCTCCTATCACCCACCGTGGGTCTTCACGTGTGCCCAGGGGGTGGAAGTGTCTGATGCCCCTCCTCCAGCAGCTGCGTTTTTGCTCAGCAGGAAGGAGGGACTTGGGCAAGGGGCAGGGTTAGTGCCCATCTCATGGTCACTAATTTCCTGCTGCCCACCTGCCCCACACAGAGGGCTCTTTCTGGCCTCCTGCCTTTGTCCCAGTCTTTCCTGTGAACCCCTAGAGGAGGCCCAACACTGCACTTCAGTGACGAGCCCGTGAGTGAGCGTGAATTCCATCTGACACACCACCTCACGCTGGGTCTCCAGCATTTGAACGTCTGAGCTGATTTCTTCTTATCCGCATGAACAGCAGACACCCCCTCCTCCCATGCGCTGCCTACGTGAGCCAGTCCACACATCCCGCCTCTCCTTAGAGAGGCCTGACCCTCCTTGGAATTCGGTGTCTAGTTTGCCTTGCAAACTCAGCTCTCTGATGAGTTCAAGGAAAAGTTATGATTCTGCAGTTTGTTGGACTTCTGTTCCTTGCTAGGCTGGGAGTGGCGCTCCTAGTTTTCTGTATTCTGGGCAGAAGTGGGAATTCTTGCCTGGACTATTGAAAGAACCACTGAACCAGTCTTCTCGTAGACCCTTTGTCTCCCTCAATCCATTCCCCGCATTAAACCCAAAGGGGTAACAGTCAGGTTTGGTCAGGACATGCTTTACCTTCAGTCCTCGTGGTGGCTTCCTGGCTCTCTTATGATGACTAAAGTCCTTCATGAAGCCTAGATGTGGCCCTGGCTTACTTTCTCTACCTCAGTTTGTCTCAACATCCCATTCGCTCTTGGAACAACAGCCACTGGTTTGTGCTCATTCTATTTCTTCCTCCCCGCATTGCTGCTCTTGCCTTCGCCAAGTCTTTCCTGTTCATTCAGATCTCAGACCCCACTCCATTTCCCAGGGAGACCCTGCCTGACGCGACCCACCCCCCGCACTCCCATCAGGTGTTCACAGACCACCCTGAACTTGGTTCCACATCTCTCTAGTTGTCAAATTACTTCACTAATGTCTGTCTCCCCAGCTGCCAGGAGGAAAGGGACTGTGTAAATGTATCCAAGTGTCCCTAGCAGCTAACTCAGCACCCAGAACCTAGCTCAGTCAATGTTTGCTACTGCTGTGATTAAACTGAGAACAGGTGGAACCAACTCAGGGGCCCTGCTTCCATGAACCTGCTTTTGTTCTGTACATAGCAACCCTCAGCCAGACAATGGAGGGCTGGGAAATAGAGACGTAGTCATATCTGGGGAACGACAGTTAGAGATGCTGAATATAACCAGCCTCACCCCGAGCTGGGCTGGGTGCTCAGGTGCCATCTTGCTGCCACCAGCAGTTTTAGAAGCTAGTTGAGCTTAGAAAATAGCCTGGACCAGAGTGGTTCTCAGACAGGTGCTGACTGGGAGAAGTACCATGGGTAAAAAAAAGTATTCCTGCAAATAGCAAAATGGAAAGAAGTGAGGACACACCACGTTTAATTTAAATGAAGTTATTAACAGGAAAAGATTCTGGGGTGTAAATTATAAAGTTACCTTTTATGTTTGCAGCTTTGATACACCCTCGGAGATTGTTCTGTCTTGTGACTTAACACGCTCCACTGGATCTGAAGATACAGTAAAGGATATGCAAGGTGAAGCTGTTTTATGGTTTGGGGTATTTTATGGAAATATTTGTTTGATGATTTTCAGCTAATGTCAACTAGCAATTACTGCAGTGAGGAGAAAATTGGCCCAAGTATTTTTTGAGCATTGATGGAGAGATGTGGGTTGTGTGTAGTAAAATGAAAGAAGGCAGGTGATACCACTGTATCCTGACAGGTCTCAGAGAAATGAAAAATGAAGGATATGCAGAACGTGAGAACTTGGACGTAACTCTACCACTGGCATCAGCTCCTAGAAAAGTTATCTGGAAATAAATCTTTTGTTGTTGGTGGTGTTATTTGTTATTAAATATAATTTTGTTTACTTTTAGCCTGAAAGATGTAACCAGTGGAAGCTTTGACACTCATGTACTTCCAGGACACCACTTCCATCTCGTGCAACCTTCCAATGAGACCTTCCTCACGAACTACATAATCTAGTGTCTGGAACTACTGATGCTCAACTGTTAGGTGTTCTCCCTTCTGGTCTTAAAATAACCCCAATGATCATTTGATACTCTTCTTCAGTTTTCAGTAGTACCTCATGAGTTTTATTCCAAGATTGGAACATGATACATTGGCTTCTGTCTGGGTGATTTGTTATTTACAAATGTCTTTCTCCAAAGAGCACTGAAATATCTGGGGACAAAGGACAAATGGGTCAACAGTATTTCTGGGAGGGTCCTTTGTCTCATTTGAGTCTCATCCTTGTTAAATTTGTCAACAAAAATTCCTGCTTGATCAGTTATCCATTTCTTCCCTTCAATTACCTGGACATTGAAAATGACAGACAGGGAGAGGCTTGAAAGGATCGCTTCATTAACACACTGTGGCTCACACGTGTTATCATTTTTTGAAATATAGTGTTATCCTATTTAATGAAGAACTATAACCTACCTCTCTGTTAAAATACGAGAGTCCTGAACAATCACTGCCACCCGTCCTGGCAGGTTCTCAGAACTCCCTTGCCCTGGCCCTCTTCTAAGGGGCTCCTCGGACACGGATGACTGAGGCTCTGTGCAGCCCTGCTGCTGCTCTGGTAATGACCCAGGGTGAGCCTCCCATGGACAGCCACTTGAGAGCCTGGCCCCTGGTGGATGGAGGGGTCAAGCTCAAAGGCCACACCCGACAGGCTGTCTCAGCCTCGCGTGATGACAACTAGAATTAGACGTGGGGAGAAAGCGGAACTGCTGGAAACAGATAAAGGAACAAAAAGGAAAAGAAGCAGAAATCGGAAAATGAGCTGAGTTGGAGTAACAGCAGAACACTCCAAATGGGATTCACAGATGCCCACTGATGGGAGTGAAGAGGCACCGTGTCCCCAGTGCTGCGTGGATCCTGTGATCTCTGGCAAATCCCAAATTCCCCCACAATGTGTGTCTCTTGGAATCCTGGCTGTCCAATCAGATATCTTGATTTGTTATCTCCCGCGATCTTCACAACAAACTCCCCTACTTGATGCAAGTGGTGTCTCTTCCTGTGGCTTCAACTGCTTAACACAGCATTATATACTGAAATGTCACCTTTTAAAGTACTGATATGTTTAGGATCATGTAATGTGGGTTCATGTTTTTGTTACAATTTAAAAATAATAGTCTCAATGAATAAGACTAAGGGAAATGCACAAAGGTATTTTTCAGAATGTATCATTCATTTTTAACAAAGCATAAATAATATAAAGCCCATTAAGGGGGGAGGGCTTTGAGTTGGAATTCACCTAATTTGGGTGAAAAGTGACCTCCAGCAAATTACGTTAAACGTTTTAGACTAAAGTTACATCATACACACACAGACACAACATTACCCTTGGAAGAGTGAGGACATGCCACAAAATTCCCCTACTTTCATTTTACTTTGCTTGCCAATTATCATGAAGAAAGTCACTTTGTTAAGAACCTGTAGAGAGCTTGTCTTTCACAAGGGAATTTTAATCATACACCCTATTTAACTATCTCATTAATTTCAACTGTGCAAAATCAACAACCCAGAAACGTGAAATCTATACATGGTAGAGCCGTCAGACCAATCATTTCTGCCAAATGTGGTTTAAACTGAAATCACTTTCCCTAAAAAGCCTGAGCCATCTTCTTTGCATACTAGCACTTTTTAAAATATCATATTCTCGGTTTTATAAGGCTGTTAGCAGAAGCAGCTTTTCTCACTGCTTCACAGATACTCTGTTTTCTCAAGAGATTTCTTATGAGCACTTGCATAGACAATGTTTGAAAGTCTCATGTTTTTGCAAAGTATACTATTTTGTGATGTGTTTTATATTTTGTTTCTCTCATAATTATTTAAAAAAAATTCTTTGCGGGGAGGTAGTTGGGTTTATTTACTTATTTAAACGGAGGTACTGAGGATTGAACCCAGGTAGAGTGCAGAGCTATGCCCTCCCTCCATATTTTGTTGAAAACTCTGTCCACAGTGGTCAAGAAGAAGATACAAATATTGCCTCACACAGATGTACTTGCCAGCATAACTTTGCCTAAGAAATAAAATAACTAAATGTTAAAAAAAAAAGTTGAGTACATGCTGTGCTTTATTCTTTGGTAGGATACAATTTCCAGGGGCACCCTCTGGTGCTAAAGTAATGTGGATTTGTGATTATTCATTCAAACAATTTTCAGTTAAGAGAGTCCACAAATGGGAATCTCACAATGTAGCCAATGCCAGGCTTCTGGGCTGGAGGTGAGGAACACGAGGGAACACCTGGAACTTTCCAAGCCCTCGGTGTATCTCTGCTAATGCCTTCTCTTTGTTGGACATGGGTGTTGACTTCATCATGGAAGACTTCTGACTGTCTTTACGCAAAACTTAGTAAGAGATGAGAATCATCTTTACTTTTTAAAGTTTTCCAGGTGAGAAATCAAGTGAGACCTGTTTTTAATTAAAATTTTTATTTTGAGATAACTGTAGATTCACAGGTGTTTCTAAGAAACGATACAAGTTTCCCCTAATGGCAACATCTTGCAAAACTCTAGTGTAATATCACAGCCGAAGATGACACAGATAGTCAGAATACAGAACATTCCATCACCACTGGATCCCCTCCTCTCACCCCCAATCCTCCTCCTCCCTGGCCATCACTATTCAGTCCTCTTTGTGTATAATTTTGCCATTTCAAGAATGTTACATAAATGGGATCATACAGTGCGTAACCTTTCGGGGTTGACTTTTTTCACTCATTATAATTCCCTGGCAATTCATCTAGTCCATCCAGACTTTTTAAAAAAGTCATATGAAATCAATCTATCCCTCTGGTCATATGACACCAAGTCTGAATCCTTATTCAGGGAATAGAGGTACACAGTTCGAAGGGATTTTTAGCCAGTGGAATCTTAAATAGATTTTAGGACCGTGTAAATGAGATTACCTTTTTTTCAGAGACCATGTGTACAGGCACGTCAGATTGAGAACTGGTCCAGTATGATATTTCAGACTCTGCATTTTTCACTCTGATAAAACTGGATGTAAGAAGCACAGCCACTGTACACTTTATCATCACTAGCTTCTACATTTCAGCTTGATTTTTCTATTTGACAGAAAGGTAAAAATTCAAAGACAAATAGTTGATATTCCCATGATGGCTTTTTTCTTTCTTTGAAGGGCTTCAGATAGACTCGCAAGTTTATTTTTAAAAACTTTGTTGCTTACTGTTACGCTTTATACAGGATATGCTTTAAAATGACGGTAGGATAATCGGTTATCTCATTCCATTCTCACAGCCCTGGGAGACTGATTTTTTCCCCCTTACTCTACAGATGAGGCTAACCAAGCCTAGTGATTTGCCTCAGGTTATCTGGTAAAGACATCACAGGAAGAGGGCTGGAACCAGGAATGTCCGTGACTGCCAAGGCCCTGTGACAGTGGAAACCTCAAAGCTTCATGTGCAACGAGGAAGAGTCTTGTTACTGGTTTTTAATCAGCTGCTTTGATCACACCAGTAAGAACAGCTCACTGAAGAAAAACAGATGAGCTAGAAGAACCAACCAATGTTAATGTTTCTGTGCACATGCGACCAGAGCAATACTTCTGTAAAACAACTTTTAAAACTTGCCTGGTTTTAGCAAGTAAAATTTCACTAAATATGTAGTTTCAGCATACCTCTAGTTAAGAACTGCAATTCGTGTTAATAGCAAAAATACTCATGATACGGAAAGAGTTAATGGCATGTCCCTTCCCTAAATCTTAGGTCATGATACCATTACGAAGGCTCCGAAAAGGGAAATTTTCTCACGCGCTGAATTCTAGATTCCGTATTTTTCTATCAGCTCTTTTGCTTTAGAAATATAGGCACTCATGGCATCATCCTTCGATAATCCTAGAAAGATACAAAAAGACTGTTTCACAGACTGATGTGCTGGGAAATGAGGAAGGTTTGTTTAACTTATTTAAAAATTAACCACTTTTGAAATAATGCTGTTTGCAGCAACATGGGTGGACCTAGAGATTATCATACTAAGTGAAGTCAGGCAAAGACAAGTATCATATGATTATTACTCCCATGTGTAATCCAAAAAATGACAGAAATGAACTTATTCACAAAACAGAAAGAGGCTCACAGAGAAAGCAAACTATGGTTACCAAAGGGGAAAGAGAAAGGGAGGGATAAACTGGGAGTCTGGAAATAGCAGATACTAACCACTATGTACAAAATAATCAACAAGGACCTATTGTATAGCATGGGGAATTATATTCAATAACTTGCAATAACGTATAATGAAAAAGAATGTGTCCATATATATATATAAAGCTGAATCACTATACTGTACACCAGAGACTAACACAACACTGTAAACCAACTATACACCAATTAAAAAAATATTAAGCACCTTTTTGGAGGTTCCAGGCTTCCCATTTAGCCTTGCCTTTTAGATCTAACACTCCTGGACATTCTGCCAAAAGAAGGATAAATGTATCTTCAGGTTTCCTTTTTACCCTATGCTTCTAGAAACACCATTAACAAAGTGCATTGTTACTTTTAAACGACAGCATAATACCAATATCCACGTCTCCCACTACAGACTGTTTGTAGAGCCCGTAGAGGACTTTCAGTTCCTCATCGTCTGGCCTGGTTTTCAGCTTCCTCACGTCGTCAGCTGCCTTATCAAAATCACCCTAATGGAAAAAGAAAAAAAGGCACCCAGTGCACTTGCTGACTTTAAAGAGGAGGGAGGTTTTGTTTCCACCAGAATTATCCTTAGTTTAATTCATGGACACTTCCCCTGGTCCTTACCTGTTGCATACACAGTGTATCTGTGTATTAGATACGGAGAACCAAATAAAATTTTTTTAAACTTTTTTTATTGAGTTATAGTTATTTTACAATGTTGTATCAAATTCCAGTGTAGAGCACAATTTTTCAGTTATACATGAACATACATGTATTTATTGTCACATTTTTTTTCACTGTGAGCTACCACAAGATCTTGTACATATTTTCCTGTGCTACACAATATAATCTTGTTTATCTATTCTGCATATGCCTGTCAGTATCTACAAATTTTGAAATCCCAGTCTGCCCCTTCCCACCCCTGCCCCCTTGGCAACCACAAGTTTGTATTCTATTTCTATGAGTCTATTTCTGTTTTGTATTTATGTTCTTTTTTTTTTCTTCAGATTCCACATATGAGCGATTTCATATGGTATTTTTCTTTCTTTCTGGCTTATTTCACTTAGAATGACATTCTCCAGGAACATCCACGTTGCTGCAAATGGTGTTATGTTGTCAGTTTTATGGCTGAATAGTATTCCATTGTATAAATATACCACTTCTTCTCTATCCAGTCATCTGTTGATGGACATTTAGGCTGTTTCCATGTCTTGGCTATTGTAAATAGTGCTGCTATGAACACTGAGGTGCAGGTATCATTTTGAAGTAGGGTCCCTTTTGGATATATGCCCAGGAGTGGGATTCCTGGGTCAAATGGTAAGCCTATTCCTAGTTTTTTGAGGAATCTCCATACTGTTTTCCACAGTGGCTGCATCAAACTGCATTTCCACCAGCAGTGTAGGAGGGTTCCCTTTTCTCCACAGCCTCTCCAGCAGTTGTCATTTGTGGACTTTTGAATGATGGCCATTCCGACTGGTGTGAGGTGGTACCTCATTGTAGTTTTGATTTGCATTTCTCTGATAATTAGTGATATTGAGCATTTTTTATGTGCCTATTGATCATTTGTATGTCCTCCTTGGAGAATTGCTTGTTTAGGTCTTCTGCTCATTTTTGGATTGGGTTTTTTTTATTAAGTCATATGAGCTGTTTATATATTCTGGAGATCAAGCCTTTGTCGGTTTCATTGTTTGCAAAAATTTTCTCCAATTCCGTAGGTTGTCTTTTTGTTTTACTTATGGTTTCCTTTGCTGTGCAGAAGCTTGTAAGTTTAATTAATTCCCATTTGTTTATTATTGCTTTTATTTCTATTGCTAGACTGCCCTAGGAGACCAAAGAAAATTAATATTGAAAATGTTCAATTTATCTACATTTAAAAACTGAAGACACAAATAAGTGGAAAGACACTCCATGTTCATGGATAGGAAGAATTAATAGTGTTAAAAAGATCATCCTACCCAAAGCCATCTACAAATTCAATGCAATCCCTATCAAAATTCCAGTGGCATTTTTCACAGAAATAGAAAAAGCAACCTAAAATGTACATGCAGCCACAGAAGACCCTGAATAGGTCAAACCAATCTAGAGAAAGAAGAACAAAGCTGGAAGCATCACATGTCCTGATTTTGAACATCACAAGCGATTACAAACAAACCAATATGGCTGTCATAAAAACAGACACACAGATCAATGGAATAGAATTGTGAGCCCAGAAATAAACCCATGCATATTAGTTTATGACAAAGGGGCCAAGAATGTACAATGGGGAAAGAAAAGTCTCTACAATAAATGGTACTGGGAAAACTGGATGGCACACGCAAAACAATGAAACTGAACTTCCTCTCACACTATATACAAAAATCAGCTCAAAATGAATTAAAGATTTGAATGTAAAGCTTGAAACTGTAAAACAACTAGAAAAAGATGGAGGGAGTTGGCATCTTGACACTGATCTTACCAACGACTTTTTGGATTTGACACCAAAAGCAAAAGCAGCTAAAGCAAAGTTAAACAAGAGGGACTACATCAAACAGAAAAGCTTCTGCACAGCAAGGAAACCAACAACAAAACGAAAAGACAACCTACTGAACGGGAGAAAATACTTGCAAATCAGAAAATATTTGCAAAATATTTGTAAACTGATAAGGGGCTAATATTCAAAATATATAAAGAACTCATATGGCTCAAGAACAAACAAAACAAAACAATATGATTTAAAAATGGCTGGAAGATTTGAAGAGATATTTTTCCACAGAAGACATACAGATGGCCTGAAAAGATCACTAATCTTTTATTTTATATTTTACTTTATATTTTAATCTCCACATCATTAATCATCAGGGAAATGGAAGTTAAAACAACAATGAGATATCACCTCACACCTGTTGGAATGGTGATTACAAAAAGATAAGAAACAACAAGCGCTGGTGAGGATGTGGAGAAAAAGGACTCCTTGTACACTGATGATGGGAATGTAAACTGGTGTAGCCACTGTGGGGAACAGTATGAAGTTTCTTCAAAAAAATTTTAAAAAGAACTACCATACGATCTAGCAATCCCACTTCTAGGTATTTATCCAAAGGAAATGAAATTGCTTTCTTGAAGAGATATGTGCACGCCTGTGTTCACTGCAGCTTTATTTATAATAGCCAAGGCATAGAAGCTACCTAACTGTCCACTGATGGAAAATATGGGGTGTGTGGGTGTGTGTGTGTGTGTGTAACAGAATATTAATCAGCCATTAAAAAGAAGGAGCTCCTGATACTTGTAACAACATGGACAGACCTTGAGAGTATTGTGCTAAGTGAAATAAGTCAGAGAAAGACAAATACTATATGATCTCACTTATATGTGGAATCTTAAAAAAAAAACAACCTAGTAGAAACAGAGAGCTTTGCTATTTATTTTCCTTAATAAAATTTTTTCCATTCTTCTTCTTTTTTTTTTAAATAAATGGTATTTTATCTTGTGCTATTTGTTTGAAATCAGGAGTAAGCAAGAATTGTCAGCAGCCTGAGTATCAAATAAGAGATGCTCAAAGAGGCATTCTATCCCTGCCCCCTAATTTCTTTCTCTAAAGCCAGACTTCCCCTTTTATCCAAAGATCTGGCAGAGAAAGTGGAGAGCCCACTGTAACATCAGAACCCCAGTGATCTCAGCAGAGTTGCTGGATAAAATTTCCATCTAGCGCCAAAGACAGGGCAGAGCACAACTAGAACAGTTGTTTTGTGATGAACAAATTCACTTGTAAGCCAGAGGCCAGGATCTCTACACTAAATATCCTTGAATATAGCCCAGCCACATGACCAGTCCCTGGAGGGGTCTCAGAAGCATGGGTGCACGTGGCCAGGATAAAGGACAGACTCTCTGCCTCATCTTTCTGAGTTATTTTCTAGGAAACTCTCAGCTGCTTTATAACGTTATGGTTAAGAACACAGGCTTTGGAGCTAGACTGCCTTGGTTTGACTCTCAGCTTCACCACTTACGAGCTGTGTGATCTTGGGCAGGTTACTTAACGTCTCTGTGTCTGTTTCTTCATCTGAAAAATGAGACAATATGAGACAGTAACACTACCCATCCACATGTAAAACTTATCTATGAGGATATAAGTTAACAACATACATAAAATATTTTAAATAATGCCTGGCACATAATGAATACCCAAGAAAGTTTAGCTGCTATTATTTTTATTGTAAGGGTTTTTAGGGGAAAAAAAAACTAGTTTTAGAAAAAACTGGAAAAAAAAGTACTTGCACTGAAGCAAGACATGAAAAATACTTTTTATGATTTAACAAAGAATATGACATTGTTGGTATATACTCAACTTTTAGAAAAATAAAGACTAGAAAGAAATATACTAAAACTGTCAGTACTAATTGTCTCTGATTATTGGTCAGTTTTCTAATTTTTAAAAATACTTTCTATACTCTCCAAATTTTCTGTAATGTGCACTTGTTTGTCTATAATAAGGAGAAAGTTAAAATTTTACATCAGTGCCCCAGGCTTCCTAAGGGCAGGGAAGTGTTAGGCTATTCAGGGAGGAGTGCTGGCAGGTGGTATGATCCCATCTGAGCCCTGTACCTCCTTGTTGAATGAATGAATGAATATGTGAGTGGATATTAGGAGGGTCTGAAAGTTATCATAGGTGAGAAACACTCTGAAATACACAGCTGTTTACACTTAAGGCCAAAGCATTCTGGGCCCAAGGGAAAGCCTGATGATGTTTCTGAGCTGCTGTAAAGCTGGGCTCACTGCTTCTGGTGAGGAATTTCGGCCTCTGTTGAGCTGCTTCTCTGGGAGCTGTGTCCAGGAGTGTGCACATGATTCTCCCCAGCCCCATCAACTGCGCTGGAGGGACTTCAAAACAACTGCCTTAAGGCATCTCCTGAGACCCTCTCCTGTTCATGTTTTCACCACTAGGCCCCCTGACCCCAATTCTGCTGTAGCAGTGACCACAGCGTCAGCAGCAACACTCACACTGGGTGCCTCCTGCCATGCATTCAATGCTCGACATTTAAAAACATATTTCAGAATATTGAGTGATGAGAAACCGTTCAAAATACAAAATGAAAAGAGCAAAACTGTATATAAATAGCAGGATCGGTGGGTTATAAACACGCACATACACATCTGTATGTGCACATCCACGTTTCTAGAACATACGAGAAACTGACCCATTATGTTAGCGTGGTTATCACCTGAGTGAAGGAATTCGATGGTTTTACTTTACATTTGTTCTCTTTCCCCCGAATTCTCACTTGAACATACTCCCCACCCCCACCCCCTTCCCAGATCAGAAAAACGGTGATTTTTATTCATGGTTTTATAGACCTCTGCACTTACTTAGAGAGCCCCTGGACGTACCAAGGATCAAGGGGCGGGGTGAGACCCAACCACCCTTTCCAGGAAGGAAAAAGCAGGCGGAGCAGGGACCCTGTGGTCCTCCCGGGGCAACCTGGCGTCCGCCCTCCCCAGGGCCCGTGCCTACTTTGCATCTAACCAGTCCCCGGGGTTCACTAGAGTTTCCATAGGGAACCCAGCGCGCAGTCAACAGGTGGCCCCTGTGCGGACTACCCGCAATAGGAAGGCGCTCCGACGGGGTGGGAGTTTCCCGGGGTGGGGCGAGGACCACCCGCATCAACCGCTCCAAGCGCGGGGTCCGCGCCCGCCACCAGAGGGCCGTCACACTGGCTCCAGGCCCTACTCGTCTTTCCTCCTCCCCAGGAGCACGTCCCACCCATCACAGCCGGCACAGCCCAGGCTCACCTGCAGGGACATGGTGACGGCACTCAACTGCGGCCACACTCCCGGCGCTGGATTCCCCAGATCCCGCCTCCCTCCGCGTATTTAACAGCAACGCGCCACCTCCCATAGGCTCCCATTGGTTGCGCTCCCGGGCCTGGCTGGCTTTCATTGGCAGCTGGCTGTGGGGGGCGGGGCTGGGCGGTGAGTGGCACCCGCTCTGGCCGCGGCGCCTGTGCGGGTGCCCTAGGGCCCTCCTGAGGGTTGTCCGCTGCCAGCCCGGTTGCAACTGGCAAGGCGAAAGGCAAGGAATTTAAATGAGTTCCCCTCAGTCCTTGGCTTTCTCAAGAAATTGTTTGCAGGAAATCCAGAGAGGTCTCCCCAGGGCACGGACCTCACTTGGGATTCCTTTATATAAATACCTCTGTCTTCCGTATGATTGCTAGAAAGCTGGACGGAAGACAGCATTTACTCAGACCTCACTCTTCCGACCCGTCTCTAGGCGCAGCCCATTGGGAACGGTAAAAGCTGGTAATTTGTATCTCTTCTTTCTAAAAGCAAGACCACTTAACGTTCTGAACACGTGGGGCAACCACCCGAACTCGTTCGCAATTAGAGTAAGGCACAGGACTACTCTCCTATTCAACTTGACCCCGTTCTCCAGGGGAAGAAAACTCAATGTCTCTCCTAGTCTGCAGACACAGAATGGGGTGAGGATTCTTTATTTTAAATGCAAGGCCTCGTGGAGCAAGATGACTGGAAGAAATGGCAAAGTCAATTTTAAGAAAGTTACTGATTTGACAGTAAAAATGCAACAACGTGTAAGCAATTCAAGGCCCCCATTTTAATTTGCTTTTGCGTAAAATTATTTTAAAAACGTATTTGCTACTTTTTCATATACATCCCTTGGTGTTTTATTTTCTTCTAAAAAATATTTTCATGGTGAAATCAGTGAGTTCCCAACCAAAGAACAAAAAGCAAGTATTAGAAAAATGCACTGGGCAGGATTTTTTTTTTCCCCATACGATGGGAAATGCATTGTTAGGCACAAAAGCAAATGACAGCTTCAAAACAGTGAATATTCTGTCTGCTGGAGAGAGCCCCGTTTATCCGTGTGTCATCAGAGAAATACTGCAGTGAGGTCCAATGTTCTTGTGTATCTGCGACTGAGACTGGCATTATAGTCATTATGAGAAATCAGGAGAAGAGAGGGAAGTCACACTGCTCTGTTTTATTCTCTAAGTCTAGAATGTTCTTTTAAGAACACTTTTCAAAACATGTTCTTCTCTTGAGTTGCATCCCCCGACTGAATACCAGAGCCATGGGTGTCCTGTCTCCAGAGCATAAAAAGAAGAAACAATGGAAACTTGTCCTCTATTCAGTGCTAATAATATATTAGATCTAGTGAAAACTTGGCTTTGTGGAACCCTTAGGGAGTGAGTCAAGTTGAACCGTCAAGTTATTTTTCATTGTATTATTAAATATCGATTATGTACATATGCATGTAAAATTTTGAAAATAAAGGGCACATTTATGAACATGCCACCAGTTTAAGAAATAGAACATTCCCTTTAGCTTTGTGACTCTCCTGGTTCCATTCCATCCTATCCTCCTTATTCGCTCACTCATTCACTTATTCATTCATTCATTCAAATAGTTACTGAGTGCCAAAATGAGCCAGGCACTCTTCCAGGTTTTTGAGAAACATCGATCAACAAGACAAACAAAAATCCCTATCCTTGTGTTACATTCTGATAGGGGATGACAAATAATAGACACATATAATAAGCAAATTATATAGTCTATTTAAAGATTTTAGGTGATAGGTACTATTTTCAAAAAGAGCAGAGCAAAGGATGGAGAATCTTGTGTATGTGGAGTGGAGGATGTGACTTGATATTATAAATACAGTGATCAGGGTAAGTCTCTTAGGAAGATGACATTTGAGTCAAAATTGAAAGAGGCGAGGGGACTGGCCAGGAAGATCCCTGGGGAAGGGCTTCCCTTGCAAAGGCAGCATTCAGTACAAAGGCCCTAAGGAATAAGCTTCCCTGGCAGGTGTGAAGTAAGGAGTCAGTGTGGTTGGAGCAGAGTGGTGAGAGAGGAGGTCAGAGGATAGGAGATGGAGACCAGATCACAGAAGGCCTTGCACAAAGGCACTTGGCTATAAGCAGGAGTGAAACAGGACCATTGAAAGGTTTTGAATGAGGACTGACATGATCTGACTTGCTTTTTAAAAGGATCACTCTTGTTGCTATAACCTCGAAGAAAAAGATTGGAAGCAAGATTCTTACTGTAATAATAACCCAGGGAAGAATTTATCACCTGAGTCTGCAACTCAGGTGATAGCAGTAGAGGGAGTGAGTAGTAGTTTGGATTCTGGATATATATTGAAAGTAGAGTCAATAGGAGTCCCTGGTAGATTCTACATGGGATGTGGAAGAAAGAGAAGGCAGGATAACTCCAAGATGCTTGGATACTTGGCCTGAGTAACTGAGGTTTGGTGGGGTGGCCAAGGTCAGAGGTTCAGTTCTGGACACGCTATGTTTGAGATACTGGATATCTAAGTGGGGATGCCAAATAGCTGGTTGGATATCCAAGCTTCATCTGGGCTGGGTACATAAATTAGGGACTCATGGTCATAGAGATGGTGTCTAAAACCTTGAGACTGGATGGCCCTAGGAATTGAACGTATGTAGAGGAGAAAAGGAAAGAAGGCTGAAGATTGGGCCATGGGAAATTGCAACATTAGGAGTTTGAGGAGAAGAGGAAGAGAGAGTAAAGTGATTATTGAGGTAAGAGAAAAACCGAAAGAATGTGCTGTTGAGAAAGCATAATAAGGAGAGGGTTTGGTTAGATGAGGACTGAGAATTAACAACTGGATTTGGGTCATTGTCAAGATTATCCATGACCTGAAAAGAAGTTTTAATGCAGTCATTGTGGGGGTGGGGGTCAAGCCTGATTAGAGTGGCTTTAGGAGAAAATGCGAGGAGCAATACAGAATAGTTAGAGTCGTTTTTTGGGCTCTGCACTTGTTTATTCCTCCACCTACATCACACTGTCTTAATCATTGAATCCTCCAAGTTTTGTTCTTCTTCAGGGAGGATTGTCTTAGGCACTCTTCTATATATTATTTTAACATCCATGAGTTTCCATAGAAGAAAATTCTTGAATTTTTCTTGGCATCGCATTGAAACTCCATATCAGTTTGGGGGGAGGAGGGGGAGGCTGATATCTTTAAGCCAAAGTTTTTTTGTTTTTAATTGAAGTACAGTCAGTTTACAATGTTGTGTCAATTTCTGGTGTACAGCTTCAGTCATACACAAATACACATATATTTGTTTTCATATTCTTTTTCACTGTAAGCTACTATAAGATATTGAATATAGTTCTCTGTGCTATACAGTATAAACTTGTTTAACTATTTTGTATATACCAGTCAGTATCTGCAAATCTCGAACTCCCAGTTTATCCTTTCCCACCCCCTTCCCCCCAGACCCTGGTAACCATAAGTTTGTTTTCTATGTCTGTGAGTCTGTTTCTGTTTTGTAAATAATTTTATCTGTCTTTTTTTTTTAAGATTCCACATATAAGTGATATCATATGGTATTTTTCTTTCTCTTTCTGGCTTACTTCACTTAGAATGACAATCTCTAGGTCTGTCCACGTTGCTGCAAATGGCATTATTTTATTATTTTTTATAGCTGAGTAGTATTCCATTGTATGAATATACCACAACTTCTTTATCCAGTCATGTGTTGATGGACATTTAGGTTGTTTCCATGTCTTGGCTATTGTAAATAGTGCTGCTTATGAACACTGGGGTGCAGGTATCTTTTTGAATTAAGGTTCCCTGTGGATATATGCCCAGGAGTGGGACTGCTGGATCATATGGTAAGTCTATTTTTAGTCTTTTGAGGAATCTCCATACTGTTTTCCACAATTAAGCCAAAGTTTTACTATTCATGACTTCCACATATCTTTTTCAATTCATTGTCTTATTATTTAGAGAATATGCTCTAATTTTCCCCAATTGAAAGTCTTGCACATCTTTTGTAGATTTATTTCTAAATAACTTTATAACTTTTGATGTTACAGGTGGCATCTTTTAAAAAATTTCTTTAGCTGTTTGAAACTGATATAGAGGAAGGGAATTGATTTTTGTACCTTGACTCTACCTAGCAGCCTTGATAAATCTTTTTAATTTTAATGATTTTTCAGTAAGTTATTTTGGGTTTTCTCTATAGCAAACATACAATCTATGAATAAATGACAGTTTCATGCCTTCCTTTCTAGTCCTCACACCTTTCTTTCTTTTCACCGCCTCTCTGCGCAAGCTGGGGCCTGTACTATAATACCAAACACTATCATAATAATAGTAATGATATAACTATAATATAATAATGGTCACTCTGATCTTGTTCCTTTGTATAAATATACCACAAATTCTTTCCCCAGTCAGAATGTTCTTTTTCTGATTTTTAGTATCATCATTATGCTAGAACATAAAACAAGTTGAGAAATCATCCTCCCGTTTTTGTATTCTGGACTAAATTGTGTAGAATGAAAAAAAATTACAAACCAGAGGTCACCCAGTAGCCAATGACATTTGAGCTGATTTTTTTGCTTGCTGCCTCCCTCACTTTCAACCCCTTGGTGTTAAAGCCCACTTTAAAAGCACATGGGAAACTCAGTTGTTTATCCCATTGATTCTCCAACCTGTAGCCAGAGTCAGTGTCCTATAATACAAAGGGCACCTGGTTACACGACCTGCTGCTTGCACCTTGCAGGGACACCCCAGCTCTCTTATGATAAACTCCAAACTCTTTTTGGCATAGAGATGGCTCTAATGCTATTGAGGCCCTCAGTAAAAGTCACCTATGGGTTGTCCCAGAAAGAATCCGTTAAGGGTTCTGATACGTTACCTAACTACCGTCCAGCAACACCCACCCACCACCCCAACAAGCGCGGAAGAGCGGGCCCCCTGCTGCAGATGAAGGTTCTGGCGCAAACGTCCAGGTGGGGTGCGGCGGCTCTCTTGTCTCCCTGGAGGCTCCAGGCCTCCTTTTGAAGGTTAAGCTGCAGTGATT